GTTAGTTCAAGTGTATGTATGTGTACCATGTGCAAGCAGACACCCACACAAGCCAGAAGATCATGTCAGATCTCCTGGAACTGGAGTCACAGGTGGTTGTGACCGGGGTGCTAGGAACCGAACCCCACTCCTCTGTAAGAACCGTGATAGCTCTTCACTGCGGAACTGTCTCTCCAGCCCTGTGTGGGCGCTTCTTCATGACCTCAGCTCCCATGCATCAGAACCCTAAGGCCCCCGCCGAGATAGGCAGAAAGGAACTGGCCTGACATGCCCACACTCTAACTGTGCCATAGAAACTAAGACACAGCCAGAGAACAGGGTCTTCAGAAGGCAGCATCTGCTCTGCCCACCCTCCTTCAGATGCAGGGAGGTGGTGGAGAAGGGAGAGCTGGGGACACTGGACAGACGGTGGATTGGCAGCCCAGAGTCAGCAAGATAACACAAGACAGACCCAGTCTGTTATGTTGATGAATGTTATCAGTTTCCCCAGCTGGGCTGTGGGGGCTTTGGGACGGTCACACTACCCGGGCAATGTGTGTGTGTGTGTGTGTGTGTGTGTGTGTGTGTGTGTGTGTGTGTGTGCGTGTGCGTGTGCGTGTGTGTGTGTGTGTGTGTGTGTGTCAGAGAGCAACTAGCAGGAGCTGGTTCTCTCCTCCCACGTGGAGCCCATGGGTTGAACTCCGGTCCTCAAGCTTGGCAACAAATGCCTCCACCCACTGAGCCATCTTGCTGGCTCCTCCATCTTATCTTTGAGACAGAGTCTCTCCATTTTATCTGGAGCTTGCTGATTTGGCTAGGCTGGCTGGCCAGCAAGCCTAGAGATCCTCTATTCTCCACCTCTCCAGTGATGGGATTACAGGCATATGCCATTAAAAACAGGGTTTTTGTTTGTTTGTTTTATTTGGGTACTGGGTATCAAGGTCAGGCCTTCACACTTGCACGTGAGCACTTACTGTCTGAGCCATCTCCCTGGCCCCCCTGCCCTAAGATTCTTGTTTCTCCCGTGTCCCCAAGATGCTCTGGGGATGGCCTCATAGAATACATAAAATGAGTCCAAAGTCTGTGCCCAGGAGTTGGAGGTGGGGAGCTCTCGCAATCCGCTCTTTCCAAGTTCCATGTGCGGTTGCTCACCATTTACCCTGTGCCAGCTTTAGACACGCCCCCAAGATGAGGTGAGAGTCTCCACAGTGAGGATGTTTGCAGTGTCTGCTGGGAAAATCCCTGGTAACAGTGAGGTCAGGAAGGCTTCTGTTTGATGTTCTATTTTACTTTGTTATTTGTTTGTTTGGTTGGTTTGTTTTGTTTTTTCCAGACAGAGTTTCTCTGTGTAACCCTGGCTGTCCTGGAACTCACCCTGTAGCCCAGGCTGGTCTCAGAGATTCATCTGCCTCTGCCTCCCGAGTGCTGGGATTAAAAGTGTCGCCACCACACCCGGCGATGGAGCTTTCTTTTCTTTAATTTTGTTTTCTTTTGGGGCCAGAGAGATGGCTTAGTGGTTAAGAGCACTTGGTGCTCTTGCAGAGGACAAAGGTCTGGTTCCCAGGATCCACATGGTGGCTCAGAACCATCTGCAACTATAGTTCCAGGGGATCTGTCATCCTTTTCTGGCATCCCTGGGCACCACACATGTACCGAGTGAGCATACATGCGTGCGCTCATACAAATAAAATAAAGACAAATAAATCTACTAAAAATGAATAAGTAGCATAAAGAGTCCATTCTGCTTGACAAGTGCTACCATGGTTGGTGGGTTCATCACTTTAACTTAACTTTAAAGGCCCTGTACCTAACGTTCTCTGTAACCCTAGTGCTCAGGAGGATGAGCCAGTAGGATCTTGAGTTCAAGGCCAGCTTGTGCTACACAGTGAGCTCTGGTCTTCAAAAGAAGAAGCCAGGTGATGATGGCACACACCTTTATTTAATCCCCATAGTCAGGAGACAAGAAATAGGCAGATCCCTGAGTTCGAGGCCAGCCTGGTCTACTGAGCGAGTTTCAGCACAGCCAGGGCTATGCAGAGAAACCCTGTCTCAAAAAAACCCAAAAAGACCAAACCAAACCAAACCAAACAAAACAAAAACAAAAACAGGGGCTGGAGAGATGGCTCAGTGACTAAGAGCACTGACTACTCTTCCAAAGGACCTGGGTTCAATTCCCCCCAGCACATGGCAGCTAACAACTGTCTGTAACTCCAAGAGCTGACATCCTCACACAGACATGCAGGCAAACACCGATACACATAAAATAAAAATAAATAACTTAAAAAAACATTAAGTCCTTAAAAAAAATACCCTAACAACAACAGCAAAGCCCTATCTATTTCCACAGCCACATTCTGAAGTGCTGGGAGGCGAAGCTTCAACACAAGGCCTTGGGAATGGGAGGACACGATTCAGACCTTTAATCTCAGCCAGGCACGGCAGCGCATGCTCTTGATCCCAGTATTTGAGCAGAGGCAGGAGACTCTAAAGTTCAGGGTCACCCCTTGGAGAGTCCCATGCAGTCTGAACTACATGAGACTCGGCCTCCGAAACAAAGAGGAGGCAGAGGAGGATGAAGTGGAAGGAAGGGGGGGAGGAGGGGGAAGACACCTCAAGTCCCAACTGCCAAGTCCATTCTGCCTATTACATGACATTTGTTGACACACTACAACGTGGACATCTCTGTGAATACCACTTTCTGTCTATACAAGCAACTGGGCAAAGGGCAGGAGGGCTGGGAAACCCCACTGGAAAATGCGCTGTCGAGGAAGAGAACAGTTGAGATTTCTGACCCCAATTCAGGCCCAAGGTCCTGAGAACCTAGCAAGTCAGTCTCGGTGGGAGAGGGGAAAGGCAGAGAGAAGGGAGTTTCATCCTGAAATTCAAAACCTGGGACATCTCAAGCTATAGATGAAGAGCTCTCTGCTTCGCAGTGCCCGAGGAGCTGGGTGAGACTTCCCAAACTATGATGGGGGCAGGAAAAGAATAAGGAGATGCCAGTGGTGTTTACACCCCTGCCCAGCAAGTAAAAGCCAGGTTGCAGCTCCGAAGCCATGCTTAAAAAGGAAAGAACTGGGGGGTGGGGGCATGCTGGAGAGACGACTCAGAGGTGAAGAGCACTGGCTGTTCTTCCAGAGGTCCTGAGTTCTATTCCCAGCAACCATATGGTGACTCACAACTATCTACAATGAGATCTGGTGCCCTCTTCTGGCCTGCAGGCTGAACACTCACTGTATACATAATAAATAAACAAATGTAAAAAGAAAGAAAGAAAGGAAGGAAGGAAGGAAGGAAGGAAGGAAGGAAGGAAGGAAGGAAGGAAGGAAGGAAGAAAGAAAGAAAGAACTGGGCCAAGGAGATGGTCCAGCGGGTCAAGACACCTGGCACCAAGCCTAGGTACCTGACCCCCCATCCCAGAGCCCCACAGGATGGAAGAGAGAACTGCCTCCTCCAAGTTATCCTCTGACCTCCACACATGGGCTGTGGCATATATGTGCACACGAGAAATAAAGATACAATAAGAATTTTAATGCAAAGAGATAGAACTACCATCGTTTAAAATCTCCTAACCTATAGCTCACATTTAAGGTCTCCATCCTCACTGGACAAAGATCGGCCATTGGGGAATCCCAGAGGAAATGTCCTAGACAGGATCAACCTAAGAGGTGTGTGACCAGCACAGTCTTACAGGGGCCCACGCTGTGTGTGGGGGCATGTTCATGTGTGTGTGAGTGCATGTGTGTGCACATGCATGTGGGAGCCAGAGGCCAACCTTGGGTATTGTTCCTCAGCAGCTGTCCACTTTACTTTCCATTAATTTTTTTTTTTTTTTTTTTTTTTGGTTTTTCGAGACAGGGTTTCTCTGTGTAGCTTTGCGCCTTTCCTGGAACTCACTTGGTAGTCCAGGCTGGCCTCGAACTCACAGAGATCCGCCTGGCTCTGCCTCCCGAGTGCTGGGATTAAAGGCGTGCGCCACCACCGCCCGGCTCATTAATTTTTTTTTACATTGATTTGCTGTGTGTGTATACACTTGCTTACCCATGAGCATGCTCGTGGAGGGGGTCAGAGGACAACTTTGGAGTTAGCGCCTCCCACCATGGAACCGGATCATCAGGCTTGGCGGCATGTGCTCCCACATGCTGAGACATCATCTCACTGGCCTCCACCTTGCTTTCCTCTTTTTTTTTTTTTTTTTTTTTTTTTTTTTTTTTTTTTTTTAAGTTTGAGGGCTGGAGAGATGGCTCAGTGGTTTAACAACATTTGTTGTTTTCTCAGGGACCCAGCACACACAATCAGGTGGTTCACAACCACCAGCAACTTTAGCTCCAGAGGACCTGTCACCCTCTTCTTGGCCCCAAAGGCACTGCACTCACATGTGCAAATACTCACACATACATAGGCATAATTTAAAAAAAAAATTTTTTTTTTTTGAGACAAGGTTTCTCTGTGTAGTTCTGGCTGTCCTGGAACTCGCTCTGTAGACCAGCCTGGCCTCGAACGCACAAAGATCCGCCTGGCTCTGCCTCCCGAGTGCTGGGATTAAAGGCTTGTGCCACCACCGCCTGGCTCAATTTAATTTTATTTGTTTTTACTTTATGTGTACGGTGTTTTGCCCGCATGTATGTCTGCGCAGCACGTGCATGAATGCCTATGGAGGCCGGAAGAGGGCGTCAGATCCCCTGGAACTGGAGTGACAGGCAGTTGTAAGCCGCCCCTGGAAGTGCTGGAAAGAAAACTAGTGTCCCCTGGAAGAGCATCGAGTGCTTTTAACCACAAACTTTCACCATGTGGATCCTGGGGATTGAACTCAGGCCGTCAGGCTTGGCAACAAGCATCGTTCCTGGTGAGTTATCCCTTCATCTTCCTTTCGTTATCTTTAGGCAACAGAACAGTTATTTCCCCCGTGGAGATAGCATCTTGCAGGCATGCTGTCAGGTCCCTTCTGTCCATCCTTCCCTAGGTCTCAAGGCGGATGTGAGGGGTGGGGACGGCATGAAAAGGAAGCGAAACTGCTTACAGACTACAGATGTTACCAGGTGGTTTATTGACAACTAATCCCCTTGGGCCTCCCACCACAGACCACCCACTAAAAGAGCTGGCCGGATCCCAGCGCCCACGTAGTCTCTAGATATGGAAGACTTTGCTCCTGAAGGTGGAAGAACCAGTAATGGGAAGAAAGCCGCTTTCCGGATCAGTATGGATGTCACACTGAGAAAACAAGGCTCACCTACATTGCAGGACCCGGGGTGTTCATGAGAACAGGTCGCAATGAGAGGCGCGAGGGGCACCTCCTTCGCCTGCACCACTCAAACAGGGAGACGGGAGAATGCCGTGGGGCTCAGGCAGGGCTGGGCGCCTCAAAAGTTATTGTCAATGTTCCACACGTCGCCGCTGAGCGCGTTGGCTGCCCCCTGCAGCGTCCACGTGAGCAGCGCCAGCTGGCGCCGGAAGCGGCTCTCCTGGAAGCCCAGACCTGATGCCAACCCGGGAGAGACGGCCTTGGAGGCATTGGAGCGCAGCATCCGCAGGTGGTCTAGCAGGGCACCCAAAGTGTGGTCGCCTTGGCCCAGGAAGATGTGGCGGAATGGGGAGTCAGCTGGCGACACGTACTGGGACAAGAGGTAGAATTCCACCTGCAGGAAAAAGTGAGCGCAGGTCACTCCTCCCTCCCCCAGGTCCTAACCCACCCGGAGGCCCCCTAGTACCTGCTTCACAGAGGATGTACCTTGCTTGCACACTCAATATCTCTTGTGTGTGTGTGTGCGTGCATGTGTGTGGAGGCCAAGGTCAACACTAGTAAGTCTTCCTCAATCATGCTCCACAATATTTTTTGAGGCGGGGTCTCTGAACCTGGAACTTGGTGCTCTGGCTAGACTAGCTGGCCGGTGAGCCCTGGGCTTCTCCTCTGCCTCCCTAGTCCGAGGTCCAGGCAGACACCACTGAGCCTGCCTTTTTACGTATGTACTGGTGCTTCGAATTCAAGTCCTCATGTGTATATGGCAAACGCTTTACCCACCCAGCCCTCACCCTAGCCCTGTTTGCTTTCCTTTGAAACAAAGACTGTGTAGCCCAGGCTGACCTGTAATTCACTATGCAGCCCAGGCTGACCTGTAATTCACTGTGTAGCCCAGGCTGACCTGTAATTCACTATGCAGCCCAGGCTGGCCTCAAGCTCACCGTTCTCTTGACTCAGCCTCAGGAGACCTGAGATTGTGGATTTATAGTGTGCACCTCCACACGAGCAGCACTTGTACCTTTTAAAACATCTGTTCAAGAGTCCATGTGTGCCCATGACTTTGACCAGAATCTCAGTGGGCACAGCTTCCAAGTCGCTTTGCCAAATCACTCATAGGACCCTGCTCTACAGGATTAGGGGATATCGGGACATAGCCTCACACGCATGCCAGCATCCGCTTCTTAAACATGAGATTCAGAGGCCAGGGGTGTGGCTTAGTGGTACAGCATGATGCATTTAGCTCCATCCCTGGTACCCAAATCTATCTATCTATCTATCCATCTATCTATCTATCTATCTATCTATCTATCTATCTATCTATCTATCTATCCATCATCCCCTTCCTTCTCTCTCTCTCTCTCTCTCTCTCTCTCTCTCTCTCTCTCTCTCTCTCTCTCGGGGAAGGGTCTCATCATGTAGCCCAGGCTAGTTGTCTCAACCTTCCAAGAGACGGGAGTACAGGCACCTTCACACATAGTTCTTTGGTACTGGGGACGGAGCCCAGGGTTTCATGCATACCAGAAAGTACTCCATCAACGGAGCTACAGCCCTAGCCCATTTTATTTTTTTCTCTTTCTCTTTTCTTTCTCTTTTCTTCCCTCCTTCCTTTCCCTCCCCCTCTTTCCCTTCCTTTTTCATGGCATTGAGCACAGGCTACGGGGTCAGAGTTCCTCATCTCTAACTTTGGCTCCATCACTTCCTGTGTGATCTTGGGTAAGTTACTTGGCTTCTCTGAGCCTACACTACTGCCAACCTCACAGCATGGCAGGAAGTCCTGCTATTGAACAAAATGAAGTAACATCATTAGCCTCTGGGAGCTCGCTACAAATGCCAGCTGCTGTTATCACTATCGGACTCTGTTTTCAACACCTTGCGTGTGCATTTTTCCTGCTAAATGATGGCCATCGGCACTGGCATCCCCTACAGGCATTTGTTGGCACCTGCAGCTGGTATCCAGGACTCAGCCTTCATGAAGTCCATTTCCTCCTCAGGCCATTGGTACTCCCGCCAGAATCCTTTCTACAAGCTCTGTTTTGCCACCTCACCTCCTTGTAAGAAATTTTCGTGATGCCTAGACACTCAAAATTCAAAATCCTGAGCCTTGCCTGGAGGCACACGCCCATAATCCCGGTTACTTGGAGGAATGAGGCAGATGGAGGTCTCCCCGGGCTACAAAGCGAGTTCAAGATTATTCTGGGAAACCTAGGAAGACTTTCAAAATGTAAAACAAAAAGTGGGTTGGAGGCACGCCTCAGTGATAGAACCCCTGCCTAGAATTCCCCAGTGAGGGGCTGGGGTGTGCCTCAGTGATAGAACCCCTGCCTAGAATCCCCCAGTGAGGGGCTGGGGTGTGGTTCAGTGGTAGAGGACCTACCTAGAATCCCCCAGTGAGGGGCTGGGGCATGGCTCAGTGGTAAGGCATATGTTTAACACGCACAGTTCCCTGCTTTGATCCCCACCACACACAAACACACAAAAACCCAAATTTCTTCAGCTGTGCAAAGGCTGCCCACAACTGGTCCCTGTTCAGTGCTCCGCAGGGTCTCTGTTCTGGCTCTGATGACCCGTGCGCAGCTCCCAAGAAAGGCCGGGTTCATTCCCCTGCCTCACCCTCCACCCTGAAATGTCCTTTTTTCTTTGCCTACACCCACGTTTTGCCTGTTCTTGAACACTCAAGCCACACAGTCTAAAGCAGAGGTCAGCAAACTTTCATTTCTGCGAAAAGCCATGGAGTAAATACTCTAGGCTTTGCAGGTTAAACAGTAGACAACGAGGAGGCAGGCCTTTCCTAACCATTTCATCACCTGCCAGAGCCTGCCAAAGTGGGTCTTCGAGCCAGGCTGCTTTCTGAACCCTGTGTGTCCGGTGTAGTACGCCCAGAGACAGGGACATCACAGGGGGCGCAGTGCTTTAGAGTGTCAGGTCCTGGGATAAGGGACCCCAGGCCAGAAGGGGGCGGGCGGGAGCGGGGCCTCACCCTCATGATGCGCACGTTGTACATGCGCATCAGACGCTCGTCGCTCTGCTCGGAGCTGTAAATCTCCTTCCGCAGCTTCTCCGCCGCCCGGATGTAGTCCCCCCTCGCAGAGTACACCCACTGCAGAGTCAGTCCGCGGGCCTGTGGGTGAGGCACAGTCTGAGATTGACAGATCGGTCCCAGCACCGATGCCTAGGGTGGGGTCAAAGCGCTGGCAGGAAGCGGGAAGGGGTGCAGGGAGGCGACCAGGCCTTTGAGGTCAGGGAGGGCAGATCCCAGGCACTCGGGTCGCACTGGTTGTGTCCTCGGGGATTAGGTGACTGGAGGTAGAAATAAAAAGGGCCAGACTGCAGGATGGGACCTAGATCTCAGGGTTGGTGAGAGGAGAAGCCGGACACCCCCAGTGATGAAGCGCCCTGCAGGCTGGGAGCGGGATCGGCATCTTGGACCTTGAGGTCCCCAGAGAACTCGTTGAGGTTGCCAATGTGCCCGAGGACCACGTCCCCATAGCGGCCAAAGTCGAGCGGCAGCAGATGATCGTGGCTTAGTCGGATGAGGAGCAGGCCTGTGAGCTGAGCCACTGCCTGGGCCACGGCGGGCAGGCGACCTCGCAGCATCTTGTGCAGATTCTCATACGTGTCCTCCTTCGTGTGCAGGAATGGGTACACCCGATCATCCTGCCGGGACATGGAAGGGCTGGGCGCAGGAACGTGGTGCTGACCGGCTGGGGGCCTGGTGTCCTGGGACAAGGGCTGGGGAATCTCACCTCCGTGAAGGAGAACTCCACAGCTGGGACCCCCGCAAAAGCCGTGAAGGAATATGCACTGCTGTCCATGGGCAGGGGCCGAATCCTGGGGGCAGGCAGATGGGAGGCCTCTGAGGACTCAGTTTCCCCAGGCTTCCACCCCTAGTCCTCGTTTCAACTTACACTTCGGCATCCCAGTTGGGATTGGTCAACACCACTTGGTCATAGAGCGTCTGTCCGCTGTGGTTAGGGGAATCCACCTGCGGCAGGATGAGGGGCACGAGTCAGGCTGTGCCCCCTTTGGGCTACAGTCTCACAAGCGTATCTGTCACCCCCAGTCCCAGCCTGTCTTGCCTGCTTCAGGATATTCTCAATGAGGCTGATCAGAAGGGGGCTGGTCTTGGCGTGAAATTTGCCATCTCCTGAAGAGAAAGAAGGGGAGGGATGACAGTCTCAGGGACAGATTCCATGGCACAGATGGACCTGAGAGAGAGGGCCAGGTAGCATTGCCCAGCTCACCCAACACTGAATTGTCCAGGCTCACATATACCACGGCTTTGAGGTGTAGCACGCTGAGGTAGCCCTGTGGGTCGGGGAAGAGTGTGAAGAAGGAAGGTTCCCCTCCCCCGCCTCTCCCCATTACCTCTGCAGAACCCCAAATCACCTCCAACCACTCCATGGATCCCACGTTGCCAAAGTCACCTCCATCCCAGCTGATGAACAAGAGACTTCTTCGCGGTCTGAACCCTACGTGAAGAGGGACGACACACGGGTTCAACACCCCCTGCACCTTCCTCCATCCCTGTCCCCAGAGGGTCTCCACTTCCTCTTCACTCACCCAGCATCCTCGCCCATCTCTCCTGATCTACCCTGACTCAGTAATAATACCTTGGAGTGGCTTCTAAAGATGCCATTTCTTGCTTAATTGTCACTCCAGCCATTGACACCACATTCCAGTCTTTATTTAGTTTTTAAATTTTTTTTTTTGTTTGTTTTTGAGACAGGGTTTCTCTGTGTGCAACAGTCCTGGCTGTCCTGGATCTTGCTCTGTAGACCAGGCTGGCCTCGATCTCACAGAGATCCACCTGCCTCTGCCTCCCGAGTGCTGGGATCAAAGGCGTGTGCCACCACCGCCCAGCTTAGTTTTTAATTTTTAAAAATAATTTATTTGTGTGTGTGTGGGCACACACCCACCTCAGTGGGGGAAGTGGAGGTCAGAGGGCAACTAGCAGGAGCCTGTTCTCTGCTCCCACCATGGGGAACTCCAGCTCAGGTTCTCGGGCTTGCCAACAAGCACCTGCTGCTACCATCTGCCTGCCCTTATTTGATGTCCTAAGACAGGGTCACATGTAGCCCAGGCTGGCCACAAATTCCCCATACGGTAAAAGATGACTTATTTCAAACTCCAAGTACTGGAATAACAGGTGTGGGCCCCATGACTGGCCTAGTTAACGTCTGAGGTCAACTGCAAAGGGATTTTACTATGGTATCGGCACACACGTGTGCCGTTACGCTTTGTTCTAACTAGTCCCCTCCCCCACCGCCGTGCTCTTGGTTGTCCCCTCAGTAGCCTGGCACCTCTCTCTCTCTCTCTCTCTCTCTCTCTCTCTCTCTCTCTCCAGTTCTAGGGATTAAACAAGGGCCTCTTGCAAGTTGTCTACCACTAAGCTATATCCCCACCTCTTTTTTTTTTTTTTAACTTTTGTTCATTTTTTTTTTTTAATGGTTCTGTTTTGGAACAGGGTCTTGCTATGTAGACCTGACTGGCTAGATACTTACTATGGAAACCAGGCTGGTCCTTGAAGTTACAGCAATCCCTCTGCCTCTACCTCCTGAGTGCTGGGATTACAGATGCGTGCCACCATGCCTGACCAGTTTTTTTGGTTGGTTGGTTTGGGTTACCTCCCTGTGTAGTCAGGGATTACCTTGAACTCCTGATCACCCTGCTCTCGCTTCTGGAATGCTAAGATTACGTAAGAGTACCACCATGCTCAGATTTTTTTTTTCTTTCTGTTTGTAACAGGGTCTCATTATGTAGACCAGGCTGGCCTCAAACTCACAGTGATCTTCCTGTGGAGGTACTGGGATTGAAGGCATGTGCCACCACGCCTGGCTTTGTTTGTTTGTTTTTGTTTTATGAGACATAGACTCATGTAGCCCAGGCTGGTCTAGAACTTCTTACGTAGTTGAGAATGACCTTGAAATCTTGATCTTCCTGCCTCAGTCTCCCGAGGGCCAGAATTATAGGTATGTCTAGCCAACTCATTTAAAAAATTAAAAATATTTTTGTGTGTATGTGTGTGTGCATGCATGTGGTGGCATATGTGTGGCGATCAGGGGACCACTTTCGGGAGCTGGATTTCTCCTTTTACCATGTGGTTTCTGGGAATCCAACTCAGGTTATTGGACTCGGTATCCTAGGCTAACACACTGATGAAATAGTATTTTGGTGAAGTTACTTACCCGGAACCACACACTGGATACTCCAGTCATGGGACTCTGACCCAAGTGACCTCTTTCCAGTACATGCTGCCAACTACCTTTGACCTAGGCCTAGCTCAGGACACAGCCCCAACTCACCCAGGCTGGCTCTGACCTTACCATTGCTGACCATGGAGGAAAAGGTCTGAACCAGTTCCAGCAGGATGGCAGTCCCCACCGCAGATTTGGCTGCTCCTGGGCCCCACGCATCCCTCTGGGCCCCGATAACAACGTAGTGATCTGGGGAAGGTGTGTGTAGAGCCCACATCTTAAACTGACAAGGTCTCCCCATGTGGCTCTGGAGGGTGGGTGCTCCCAGAGCCTCACCCTTTCCTCTCCACTCCCCACCCCCGACCCCCAAGAGCTTCCACGCTGTAGACCCTCCCTGTTCCACAAGCATAGCTCTCTAATCCCTGCTAGGTCAGAAGACCACGCCCACGTCTCTTGGCCCCGCCCAGATGGGATGGGCTGACCCATCAATAGGCATTTGGAGAAGATTCAAACACACAGACCTCCCCGCACGCGCGCGCACGCGCACACACACACACACACACACACACACACACACACACACACCTTTGTTTCTGAAAACAGGGTCTCACATAACCGAGGCTGGGCTCAAACTCCTGACATTTCCACTTCTTCCACTTCTTCCCAGGTGCCAGGATTACAGGCACGTACCACCACATCAGGTTGCACCAAGTGCTGGCATCAAACCCCGAGTTTCTCCCATGCTAGGCAACCACTCTATCAGCTGAGCTGCTGCCGATAGAGGGGGTATTCTGTTTTGTTGGAGTTTTTGTTTTTCTTTGTGTCCTACACTGGCCTTGAACTTCTGATTTCCTGGCTCTAGGTGTGTGCCACCACTCCTGGCTCCTTCCTCTGCTTAATACAGGCTCTCAAGGCCTAGGCTATGTAGCTTAGGCTGGCCTGGAACTCATCAACCTCCTGCCTCAGACTCTTGAGTGCCGGGATGACAGATGTGAAGCACCACGCCTGACCAAACCCTAAGGACATTCTGGACTCCATTCTCTCCCTGGTCAGGCAGGCCTGCACCTTCCCTAGCCTGCTGCCCTCACCCCAGCTCTTCTGCACCCCTACTCCGACCTCCAACATCCTCATCCGAGTGTCACGCCAGGTCTCTGCTTCTCCCTCAACACCTGGGCTTCCCAGGTCTGCCCCACCCTGACAAGTCTGCTCAGCCACCTTGGATTCCCTACTACCAGAGTTGGTTGTCCAATCTGGTCCTTGTTTGTTGCTTGGATATCCAGTATAATAACATTATCCAACATATGCTTGCTTACCCCCAATGTATGGGGAGCTCACTACTGAACAATACCGCCCATTTGGAGGGCTCCTCACTGCCACCTCTCATCAGCCTCCATTCCCTGGGCATCACTCCTGGCCCTTCTCGAGGGCCTCCTGCATCAGTCCTTGGTTGGGTTTAGGAGCAGAGCCTAAGTTGTGGGAGATACGGGGCAGACAAGCCCACCTGGTTCTGCGAAGCCTTCAATGCAGGCAAAGATGTTACTGATGGGAGTCGAGGCCCTGCGGTTGTTGACCACAAGGCGCAGGGCTGGCCCAGGTCCCAGCCGATACGGAGAGCCCGACAGGTGTCCTTTCCACTCCTGGGGGGCCACTGGGCCTTTGAGTTTCCTGGAAAAAGACGGAGCAGAGACGTCTTGAAGTGGTAGTGTGGCCTAGGCCGCAGAAGAGCCTAGAGCCCCATTTCATCCTCTCTTGTCCCCACGGACAGTGGTACAGGCTGTGTCCCGGGCAAGGGTCCTCAGCACTTGTGGGTGTACCAGACGGTGGGGCCTGGTAAAAGGTGTGCCCACCTAGAGGGTCACGTCTTTCTTTTGTGTGTGTACACATGCACGTGTGTGTGGAAGTGTGTGCGCAGGTGTGTATAGAGGCCAACCTCACATCTTGCCCTCAAGTGCTAGCCACTTTTTGTTTGTAAGTTTATAACACATTTTCTCGTTTGTGTGTGAGTGTGCAGCATGTGTGTCGCAGTGTGCGTGTGGAGGTCGGAGGACAACTTGTGGAGGTCGGTCCTCTCTGAGTGTGTGGTACTTGGAGACGGTCTTCAGGCTTCCTGGCAAGTGCCTTTGCCCACTGAGGCATCTGAATAGGACTTCTTGGTTTATTTATTTATTTACTTATTTGACAGGATCTGCATTTGGCCTGAAGCTCACCAGTGACCCTAAGCTGGATGCCAATGAGCTCCAGGGATCCACCGGGCTCTGCCTCTCCAGTGGAGGATTGCATACACACACTTAGGTTTTGTTTATTTTTTATTTTTTGAGTTTAGTTTTGTTTTTTGAAACAGGGTTTCTCCGTGTAGTTTTGGTGCCTGTCCTGGATCTCGCTCTGTATACCTAGAACTCAAAGAGATCTGCCTGCCTCTGCCTCCTAGGTGACCCTCTAGGTGGGCACATTCCAGAGACAGAGACAGGGAGTGCTGGGACTAAAGGCGTGCGCCACTAACGCCCGGTGGCTTTGTGCTTTGTTTTTAACACGGGTTCTGGGGATGTAAAAGCGGTCCTCATACTTGAGCGGCAAGCCCTTTACTGACAGAACTATCTTTAGGGAGTTAGTTATCCAAGATAGTTCCAGAGTCACCTTCTTATTCACCCAAGGAACCCTTCAGCATTCCCCCCCCTTGACCCCCACACACTTTCCATATCTTACCTGAGCAAGCCGACAGCGACGTTGGCACTGATGGGCTGGGCGGGGATGCTGGGAAGGCCTGATGACTCTACCGGCGGGAACTGGGTTTGGTTGAAGGAGGGGAAGCCCGGTGTGTAAGGGTCTCCAGTTCCGAGGTGCACCTAAAGAGGAAGCAGTCCCCGCTCTGAAACTGTGGGCCCAACAAGCCCCATTGTGCATCCCTGGGCCCCAAGACTCACGTGTCCATACACAGCCCGGTAGCTGGGCAGGCCTGGCTTGTGAGGGTCCTGGGAGAAGTCTGCTGGATCGGGGTATATCAGTACTCCTTGGACCCCAAAGTCCTGGGCAACAGCTACCTGAGGGAGCACAGAAAAGCCAGGAAAGGTAACATGGCCCCTTCATCCGCAGCTGCCATCCGGAAGGGACCCTGTGTGGCTATCACTCGGCTCTCACGTTGCAGCCCTCCCTCAGGGCCTCTGTAGCATTTAAAACCTGTGTGCCCGGGGCTGGAGAGATGGCTCAGTGGTTAAGAGTGCTGGCTGCTCTTCCCGAGGACCTGGGTTCGATTCCCAGCACCTAAATGGCAGCTCACAACTGTCTGTAAGTCCAGTTCCAGCGGATCTGGCATCTCATCTGGCCTCCACAAGCACCAGGCACATATACGGTGCATGGACTGCATGCAGGAGGCAAAAGACACCAATATCCATAACAAAATTAAAAAATTAAAAATCGGCCGGGCGGTGGTGGCGCACGCCTTTAATCCCAGCACTCGGGAGGCAGAGGCAGGTGGATCTCTGTGAGTTCGAGGCCAGCCTGGTCTCCAAAGCGAGTTCCAGGAAAGGCGCAAAGCTACACAGAGAAACCCTGTCTCGAAAAAACCAAAAAAAATAAAAAATAAAAAAAAAATAAAAATCTCTGTCCAAGCCATGAATGCCTTTAATCCCAGCAGTCAGGAGGCAGAGGCACGCGGATCTCTGTGAGTTCCAGGCCAGCCTCGAGGCCAGCCTGGTCTACAAAGTGAGTTCCAGGACACCTAGGGCTGTTATACAGAGAAACCTTGTCTCAAAAACAAACAAACAAACAAAAAAAACCAAAAACAAAACAACAACAACAAAAAACAACCAACCAAACAAGCAAACTTGTGCCACACTGCCTCCCTTTGTCTTCCCTGACTGATTCAACCAAACCCCCCGATTCTGTTCATTGCTAATGTTTGTCTTTCACTCCTGAGATTTAGCCGAGGGCCTGGCACGTGTTACATGTGGAGTCAGTGTTCTCTTTCCACCACGCGTATCCTGGGAGTGTGACTTGGGTCATCAGGCGAGACAGCAAGCACCTTTACCTGCAGAGACACCTCATCGTCTCCCACAGACACCTCACCGTCTCTCACCGTCTCCCAGAGACACCTCACCGTCTCCCACAGACCCCTCACCGTCTCCCACAGACACCTCACCGTCTCCCAGCCTTGCTGTTCTTTTCTTTTATTTCGTTTTGAAATAGTCTCTAGCCCAAGCAGGTCCTGAACTCTCTGTAGTCAGGGATGATCTTGACTTCCTAATCTCCTGCTTCCTCACCCTCAGGGCTGGGATTGCAGGTGTGTGCTACCATGACTGGTGTATGCCGTGCTGGGGAATCAAACTCCGGGCTTTGGGCATGCTAGGCAAGCACTCTACCAACTGCACCACATCACAAGCCCATGTGCTATTTTAATTGGAAAGAGAATTACGTGTATTTATTTATCTGTGTGTCGAGGACAACTTGCAAGAACAGGTTCTCCCCTCCCGCCTCTAGGTCCCAGAGGTTGGATTCAGACTTGGTAGTACGTGCCTTTTCCCACTGAGCTATTTCCCTTATCCCTCTGGTTTGGTTTTTTAGACAGAATCTTGTGTATTCCAGGCTGGCTTCAAATTCTTTATGTGGCTGAAAATGACTTTGAACCTTAATCCTCCTGCCTCCACCGGCCCCTGCAAGCACTGAGGTGACAGATCTGTGCCACCACATCTGGCTGTCAGCTGTATTTTCATTATTTAATTTTAAAAAATGAGACATGCCAGGAGGTATTGGTGCACATATTTAATCCTAGCATTCGGGAGACAGAGGCAGACAGATCTCTGAATTTGAAGATAGCCTGGGCTACAGAGTGAGTTCCAGAGGGCTACACAAAGAAACCCTGTTGAGAGAGAGAGAGAGAGAGACCGGGTCTCGCTGTGTCGCCCAGGCAGGTCTTGAATTTACAATCTTCCTGCCTCAGCTTCCTACGCAGCTGGGGTGACAGGTTACATGCCTGTCTTCTGCCAACACGTTCTTAAAATGTGCCTGATTTTTCTTTTCTCCCGGTGACAGCCTCCTAGATCCTCGACGAAGACACGCCTGTTCCCCAGACCTCTCGCGCCTCACTTCACACACTGCCCTGTGTGGGACCCTCACCTTCTGGGCGAAGCTGGTAATGCCCGCGCGCACTAGCAGGAGGCTGCCGGCCAGCTCCACGCCCTTGGCTCTCAGCTCCTGCAGATCCTCCGGCCGCCCGTAGTGGGCGTACACCAGCTTGCCCTGGGGACCGAGGAGTCTTTGAGGCACTGTGCGGGCATCCCGACTCAGCTACCCACAGAGGGCGACGTGACAGGCTCGCTCACCGTGGCGTTGCCAGTGGCGCTGTAGGGACAGTAGACTTCCGGATCCTCCAGCGGCAGCTGCTCCTGGGCGCTCCCGGCTGCATCCACCCAGTGCAAGGTGTTAGGGTGAGCCCTGAGGACGGGGAGGGTGAGCACCCCTGGCTGTGCAACCCCACGGCATGTCCCCTTGTCGCGTCCCCAGACTCACAGGTCCGGGAACTGAAGCCCCACATAGTGAGTGTCAGTCCACACGTGGTCCAGCTTCTGGCTTGAGAACATATCGAGGATGTCTTTGACCAGAGTGGCCATCATGGTTGAGCCAGCCACGCGTTCCCGGAGGGTGGTCACCCTGAGCAGAGAGGGATCACACTGGGAAGGGGGTTGTGCAGAAAAGGGACTCCCATTTCCCCCGCAGAAGTGGGGAAAACGCAGGTCTGGAATGCCATCTAATGAATCCCAGGCTAGCCTCGAACTCAGGTAGAAAGCACTTGGGAGGTGGAGGCAGGAGGATCGAGCTTCAGGACAGGACCTCACCCTGTCTGCTTCCGTTATCATCACCCAGCAAGAAATTGTCACCTAAACTCTTCTCCCCTCGAGCATGTGCTGCCCTCTCATGGTTTGTGACCAAGGTCTGTCTGAAACCTTTGCAAGAGAAACTACCCTCCCCATTTATCACAGACCTGTGGCCTTGGCAGAGACCAGGCCATTCCCAGAGTGGGCACATCTCCCACCGGACTCTTGGGTTTCCCGACCTCTAGTCTTGGGATGGAGGTGCTCCTGGCTCTCTAAACCCGCTCCCTCTCTCTTTCCCTTCCTTGTAGGGGATTCTAGGAAATTACTCTATCACTGGGCTACAGCTGTTACCCCAAACCACCTTTACATTTTTTTCTGTTCTATTTTTAGACAAAGCTATGCTGAATTGGCAAGACTAGCCACAGACTCCCTCGAAACCCAGCTAGACCCAGAACTTCTCTGTTTTAGCTTTAGGATAAGTTAGAACCTGGTTCTCTCCTCCCATCCCTGAGATCCCGGGGATTGAACTCTGGTTGTTGGACTTGGCAGCAATCACCTTTACCCGCTGAGCCATCTCGCCAGCCCTGAGCCTCCCTTTTTGACTACACCTTGTGAGGTTCTGGTTTTGTTTCCCCCCCTTCATCCTCACTGTATTTGCCAGTCTGTCTGTCTGTCTTGGGAGGAGACATTTATGTTGGCTCACATTTCCAGAGCATTTTTCATTCCTTACTATGTTGCAGAGGGTATGGATTTAGGAAAACTTGGCAGGTTTTTAGCTCTACCCATGTCCTGGCTTTCATAAGATCTTTTTGGGGGGTGGGGTGGAGGGTGGAGGACAAGATCTCATTTGACCTGGAAGTCACTATGTGGCCAAGGACAGCTTTGAACTCCTGACCCTCCTGCTCCCACCTCCCAGGTACTGGGATCACAGGTGTGAACCACCACACTTAGTTCACGCCACTTAGGGGATCATGCTAGGTCACCGGAGCTATAGCCCGAGCCTCGGATTGGAGGTCCTCACACGTGATGGAGCCGTCTGTTTTGATCAAGTGCCCTGCTGTGTATCAAAAGATACACCATGATCAGGCTCGGCAAGGAAACACGTGTATCCAAATGGCTGCATCAACGTTAAAGACAGCGCTAGGTAGCTTAGATCCTCAGTACAGAGGAGGAGGAGGAGAACCGAGGCACACACCTATAATCCTAGCACTTGCGGGGGGGGGGGGGGAGGCGGGGGGGGGGAAGGGAGAGGATCTCGAGTTTGAGACCAGCCTGGGCTACATCACAAGACCCTGTCTGGAAAAAAAAAAAAAAAAGCTAAAAACAAAACAAATTAAATCAAACAAAATAGAAAAAGGGCTAGAGGCGTAGCTCAGCGGCCGAGTCCTTGTCTACGAGCATGCAAGGTCCTAGGTTCAACCCCCAGAACTGTAGACAAAAAAATTGAAGAAGTCCAGTGAGATGGCTCAGAAGGTAAACGACACTTGTGGTCAAGCCTGAGGACCTGGGTTCAGTCCCTGGGTTCTACATGGCAGTAGGAGAGAACTGACTTCTGCAAGTTGATCTCTGACCTCCACACATGTGCAGCGCACCCAAGCACCATACCCTGATAATAAATAAATAGCTGCTTAAAAAGAAGGAAGAGCCGGGCGGTGGTGGCGCACGCCTTTAATCCCAGCACTCGGGAGGCAGAGGCAGGCGGATCTCTGTGAGTTCGAGGCCAGCCTGGGCTACAAAGCAAGATCCAGGAAAGGCGCAAAGCTACAGAGAAACCCTGTCTCGAAAAACAAAAAAAAAAAACAAAAAAAAAAAAAAAGAAGAAGAAGAAGAAGAAGAAAGAAAGAGGGTCTGGAGAGATGGCTCAGCTGTTAAGAGCACTGGCTGCTCTTCCAGAGGACCCGGGTTCAATTCTCAGCAACCATAGGGCAGCTCACAACTGTCTGGAACTCCAGTTGCAGGGGACCTGGCATCCTCACACAGACACACATGGGGGCAAAACATCAATGCATATAAAATAAATAAATGAATACATCTTTAAAAAAGAAAGAAAGAAGCCGGGCGGTTGTTGCGCACGCCTTTAATCCCAGCACTCGGGAGGCAGAGCCAGGCGGATCTCTGTGAGTTCAAGGCCAGCCTGGGCTCCAAAGCGAGTTCCAGGAAAGGCACAAAGCTACACAGAGAAACCCTGTCTCAAAAAACCAAAAAAAAAAAAAAAAAGAAAGAAAGAAAGAAAGAAACCCAAAGAGGAAAAAAAATCATGTGGTTGTCTCAGTACACGGTGAAAAAAATACTTAAAAAAAAAAATCAAACCTATTCTTCATTACCTGACCATTACATAAAATAAAATTAAAATGTCATTTACCTTTACAAATTATTTGTTTTTTTGAGATGGGTCTCATGTGTCCCAGGCTAGCCTCCAATTTATTATGTAGCCAAGGATGTCCGTGAACTCCTAATCCCCCTGCATCTACTTCCTGAGTGCTGGCACTACATGCATAGTCCACCAGGCCCTGGTCCCTCTGCTTTCTTTTGCTCAGCTGCTTGTCTCCTAAATAAACCATCCTCAATGTCTCAGGTCCTTGGGTACTCAGCTTCTGGTATCTGCCATCCTTCCAAGGGCCACTGAACGTGGAAGCCAGCGGGGAGGGTGGAAAGATCCAAGAGGGGACTTAGGTAACATGAGAACTGGCGGGGCCTCCAGTTTGAATTGCACTGGACACTGGGCCAGGAAGGAAGCCAGGCTATTCTTACCTGATGGTGTCCTCCAGGTGCCCCTCCCCAAGGAACCGAAGAAACATGGCCTGGAGGTCACTCCAGTACAACGTGCCCAGGCCGGAGTTGAGGTCCAGCTCAGAGTTGACATCCTCGCCGACCATCAACACGGAGTCCCCGCATGCCTGGCAGGACCCTCGAAAGGTCACATAGCCCAGGAGGAAGGCTGGCAGGTGGTAAGATGTGGGTTCTCTTATGCCCCTCTTCTACTGGACCCCAGAAGTGCCCCCAGCCCAGGCCTTTCGCTGAGGAAGAGGAAGGGAACACTCACCCCCAGTGAAGATCAACAGGGTGGTCAGGACCAGATAGGGGGCAGCCTTTCGACCTGCTGCCGCCCAGGGGATGGGAGCTGACCTCCCGGGCCGGGAGCCTAAGGGCTCAGGGCCCTTGAGTTCCATGGGGCAGAACTGGACAGGCAGCTCGGCCTCTTCCTCCCTGTCCTCCTCTTCCTCCTCCAGGTGCCCCAGATCAGGGCCTTCCACACGTTTATAGATGGTCTGAGAGGGTCTTGGGGACCACTGTTGCTGTGTGGAGCGGGCAGGTAGGCATGAGATTAGGGGAAGGGGCCTAGGAGTTGGGGAAGGGTTAGGCAAGAATGGTGTCACCGGCTGGGGCAGGGAGGGAGCTCTAGGGGGGAGGCTGGAGAGGAGGCACCCAAGGGGGATGAGGTGGGGCCAACCTTACGCATTAGGGAGGGGCCTGAGGACCATGGAGGAAGACCTAATGCGTGTAACCCTCCCACCCGCATGGTCTTACCGCTCTCTGCAGTAGACCCCAAAGTTGGTCCATGCTTGTGCCCCCTCCTGAACCCTGCAAATAGTCCCCCCCAATGACAGACCGTTTGTGGGAGCCCCAGAGGGCCCCTTATCAGCCCTGGCAGGCAGCCTGAGCCTAGGCCGTTCCTCACTCCCCAAAAGGGTGGGAGCTCAGTCTGGCCTCGGTCCAGCCTTCCAGACATTCCTCCCCCGCCCCGGACCCCGCCCCAGCTCACGCTAGATGACAAGGGGCTGTGCCTTCTCCTGCCAATCCTTCCACAGACCCCACTGCTGCGGGCTGACTGCAAAACAATCAATTTTTTTAAACCTCAGGGCAGACTTTGAACACCTTAGTTCCCGGCACAGGTCGGGGGAGGGGGAGCTGAAAGTGAGGGGGAAGGGGAGATGTGGCCAGATGCCTCCTTTTTTCCTGATTCCACCCTCTCTCAGTGTCCTTGGGGAAAATACCCAGCTCCCTTGGAAGCTTCATCATGAAAATTCCTGTCCCCCTCCACCCCTTGTGGGGTTCTTAGGTTCCCCCAACATACAGCCCTCCAAACGGCCTGTTAGCTGGTCTTCCTGCCCCGACCTCTGCTCAGCTAGATCCCAAACTAGCGGCAGCCTAGTGGGGGCGACTCGGTAGTTTAATCCGACCATAAAGCTGTCTGTCTGTGCTGGGGAGGGAGGGCTGTAAATGAGATGAAGAGGTCAAAAGGAGCCAATGAGTGGGTCCCGGGGTCAGGAAGCTCTGGGTCGGGCGCCCACTTCACCAGCTCCTCTTGGGTCACTAAAGGACTTAATTAGATGTTTCTCTTTGGGGGTCTAGGGCTCTCTAAGAATTTGATGAATGGCCACAGCCTCAGTTTACCCTCCAGTTTCAAATCCAAGACAGCCAGGACCCGCAGCTCTGAATGGGAAAGTTCAGGGTCCACCTCACCCTCCCTCCCGATCCGGGTCTCCCCTGGGAAACTGCAGGTCCTAGCCAGGTCCAGAGAGATCTGAGAGGTAGGGGCTCACCGGTACCCCAGCCCCGGCCTCGTGCCTGTCGAAAGCCGAGTCCTGAGTGGGACGACACAGCAGCCAAGCTCGCTTTAGCAACAGGTCCCTGGATTTCTTTGACCACGCTGCCGGGGAGACCCAGAGCCTGCGTTTAGGCCACGCCCACTGGAGCACGCCCCCTCCCAGAGCCCCGCCCCCGCATGTCCTTTTCCGCGTGACAACCCTCCAACTCGTCGGCGGAGTCCTCAGGTCTTGGAACTTCCAGGGTCCTGACCCCACTGAAACCTAAGAATTTCGTGCCCCGGTGTAGCATGAATGTAGAAGTGACTCTCTCTGGCCCCCTCACCAGACCCCCGCCCCATTCCCTATCCCCAAGGAGGTCAAATTATTCTTATTTTCTTAAAACTTTTTTTTTTAAACTTATTCCAACTCAGAAACATCACAGTCTAAGAAGGTGTGGGTAAGAGAGGAGAGGGTAATGGGAGATGGAGGGTTCAGCGCTTTCGGAGGCCTGGCTGGTGGAACGCCCCTCCGAGGTGAGGGGGTGTTTGCGGAGAGGGAGGGGTCAACCTCAGGGGCACTTCCGCTCCACGCACTGCTTCCCTCCCTCCTCGTATTCCTGCTTGGAGATCCACATCTGCTGGAACGTGCCCTGGGAGAAAAGGGGCAACACACGCCGTCAGGACGTCACCCCACACGCCTCTACACCGCCACACCCGTTGTTCCTTCTTACCTCCATGTCTCTCGCCTGTACCCCTCCCCCTCACTGGGGGATTCTAGGCAGGTGCTCTACCACTGAGCCACACCCCAGCCCCTCACTGGGGAATTCTAGGCAGGGGCTCTACCACTGAGCCACACCCCAGCCCCTCACTGGAGGATTAAAAATTCTTCGTTCAGATGTGCCTGTGTTTGCATGTGTGACGATCGGCCCACATGGACATATGGAGGACAGAGGGCAACCTCGGGTGTCTGTCCTCTCCTTTCCACGTTGAGGCACTCTGTCTGGATGGCTGGCCTGTCAGCTTGGGGAGCTGCTCCTATCTTCTCCTCCCATTTTGCTGATGAGAGGGCTGAGATTACAGACAGATGCTCTCATGCTCCGATTTATGTGGGTTCTAGGGATTCGAACCCAGGTCCTCAGGCTTGTGCAGCAAGTGCTTTACTGAGCCCTCTTCTCAGCCCTTGTGTTTGTTTTCCTTTTATTTTGACAGAGGGTCTTACTGAGTTGCCCAGGCTGACCTTGACCTTGGGATCTTCCAGCCTCCTCCGCTTCCAGGTGAGCTGGAACTACACCTCTGCCACACAGCCAGCTCCACATCATCATTCTGACACGGCCTGGCACCTCACTGCCACCCACCCCTGCTGCTCTTGAGGAATCCTGTCGCGGGCGGGCGGGCAGGCGGGCGTCTCACACTGGCTCTTCTCACAGATGGCTGCTGGGCTTCCATCTGAAGGCTGGTGTCTCCAGCTCACCGGCAGCCTTCCTGGGTGACCTCATTCTATGGTCCCTGCCACTCCCCAGCCTCTTGTTCCAGACTCAGACACCCAGTTGTGTCCTGGCCACTTCCTCCTGAATACCCTTGACCTTAGACTTCCTCTGTCTATTACTGAGCTCATCATCTTCCTGCAGGCTTTGCCCAGATCTATTCTCCTTTGGCCTTCTCCCCCTCTCCCCTCCTCTCCCTTTTCCTCTCCTCCCCTCCCCTCCTTCCCTCCTGTTCCCTTCCCCCAGATCCCCTCTCTTTCTTTCAACAGGCTCTCATGTAACACAGGCTGGCCTTGAACTCCGTGTAGCTGAAAGCATGATTCTACCCCGGCTCCAAACCCACACATAAAATCTGAACATGACGGCATGCACTTTGAACCCCAGCACTAGGCAGGCAGAGACAGGCAGATCCCTGAGGCTCACAGGCCATCCAGCCTGCTCGGCGTAGCCCCCTTGGCCATGCAGATCCCAGGCCACACCGTGGGATGACACATCTGCCATCGCCACTCTTCTATCCCAAATTCCAGGATGTCCCCTCTACTCACTGATGGCCTCACCCAAACCGCATCCTCACCAATCTCTCTGCTTCTCGATTCGTACCCCGAGGGAGCCCCCAGTCTGCAGGGAGCACTCATTGATTGGGCTCTCTCCAGAAACATTTTTTTTTCTTTTTCAGGGCTGGGGTTATATGTCTCAGTCAGTAAAGTGCTTGCTTTAGAAGCACAAGGACCTGAGTTCAGTCTGCAGAACCCATGTTAAAAAAAAAAAAATCTGTGCTGTCATCCCAGTGGCAGGGATGGAGAGACAGGATTTGAGTTGACTGGGTAGCTAGCCTAGATGAATCAGTGACTTCCAGAGCAATGAGGGTCCCTGCCTTAACAAACAAGGTGGGAGGCACCTGAGGAAGGACAGCTCAGTTTGTTCTCTGGCAACAGGGTCTTGCTATGTAGGCCAGGCAGGCCTTGAACTTGAAATCCTCTTGCCTCGGCCTCTCTAGTGCTGGGATTACAGGTGTGACTAGGTGCATGTTGCTGAGTAAAAATGGGCACCCATCAGGGTCTTCTCTCCGAACACTCAGTGGCGTGCCCCTTCCCTCTCACCAGTGAGGCCAAGATGGAGCCCCCAATCCAGGGGCTGAACTTGCGTTCCATGGTGCTGTTGCTGGCGATGAGCTTCAGCCGCATGCTCTGGGGGAGAAAAGGGAGCTGGGGGAAGTGGACATCTAGATCCTGGGAAGGGACAAGGCTTGGGAGGCAGGAGGACGCCACTGAGCATTCCCATGGAGGGGAATCAAGAGGGATTTGGGGTTTCAAGAGCTAAGCGGGGACTGGGATCCGGGCGCCCTGAGCCGGGTGGAGTCGGGTGGGCTCTTACCGGTGGGGTCTTCTGGGAAAGCTCTCGATTAAGTCTGTCTGTGAAGCCCTGAAGCAGCGTGTTCCCGCCCGTGACAATGACGCTACCGTACAGACCCTGGGAGCAGGGAGAAGGGTGAGCATGCAGAGCAGGTCCTTCCTTTCCTCCATGTCAGCCCTAGCACCCTCTGCCCAGCCTTAGGTTCTGGCCTCACCGGGCGGATGTCAATGTCACACATGCCGATGCTGGTGGTAACCACGTGACCCACTCCTAGCATAGTGTTCCCGGACAGGCCCTGTGGATAAAGGCGATGTGGACTTTGGGGACTCTGCCTCCCTCTCCCACAAACCCCTATCATCCTTCCCAGACTCCCCTACCACACCTCTGGATCCAAGACTCCAGCCAGCCCCACCCCCACCCAAACCCAGCACCCAGCCAGACCTTGACATTGGAAGGATCAAAAAGGCCCTCGGGGATTCGAAGTCTCTCGGCTCCATAGTCTGTGTTGTAACCGTTGGGCATTTCATAGTGTACAGTGGGCATTTGTGCAGCCACCCTATCCAAGGAAGGAGCAAGACTAAGGACTACCAGGTTCCCGTGAACCCCAATCATGTCCCCCGCATCTTTGGTTTTTGAAACGGCGTCTCATGTAGCCCAGACATGCCTCCACCTCAACAAGTAGCAGAGGCTGGCCTTGAACTCTTGATTCTCTTGCCTCTGACTTCCAAGGGGGTTTCAAACTTGTACCACCGAGATCCATAGATGTGTGGCTGAGGAGGGAACCCGGATCTTTGTATGTAGTAGACAAGGTGTCCACCCCCACCCCACCCAGTTTTTGAGACTGGATCCTGCTGTGTAGGCCAGGTCGACCTGGGACTCTCCATCCTCCTGCCTCAAGCTTCCTGCATGCTAACATTACAGGAACTGCAGTATGCCCGGTATCAGTTGTACCCTCCCTGCAGCGCTGAGCCCGACTCACTGTTCGTCGTAAGGGGAGTCAGACACCTGTAGCACGGAGGCCTGGAAGTCTTGGATCACCTCCTGAGAAGCAGGGAGAGGTGAGGTCTGGCCGCCCTCTGTCTCCATCTTGAGCGCCCCTTCCCCCAGCTCCAGTCCACCCACAGTCACACCCTCCACCTCCTCTAGTTACACAGCAGGGGACCAGGGGCTAGTAGGGGGTGTGGGGGGGAGGGAAGCTCCTTTCAGCTACAGCCTCACGTTGCACATGTAGTTATGCCAGGACTTGGAGACTTGGGGTAGCTT